CATGGGGAGTTTGAGTCATTTCGCCTCTTCCTTCCCCCACTGGTGTTTACAAAACACAGATATGAGCATATTTTACCATGATCCTAGATGCTTAAATATCTTTGACTAATTATTTCTGATTAAAGATTCAGCAGATTTTCCTTTAACTCTCAACAACAATCACAACGACAAAACCTCACTTATTTTTCTTAATAAGATTAGTGTATCACCCTAAGGCAGAAATGTTGCAAAAAGTTTTTGCAAGATGGTTAGATTTGCTTTTCCATGGTAACTAAGGTCAGATTTCCACTGATGTTTATTTGACATACATTTTATTCCTAAAGATATTGGAAGGGGTAGATATTGGGGGAGGTGTATGGATGTTGAGGACCAGAGAAAGGCAGACAGAGGATATAAATCATATTCAATCAGAACCTGGAACTTACAGTGTCAGATAAAGGTTAGGTCATAAGGCCGGGGATATAGTTCAGTGGTGGAGCCTGCTCTTAACATGTGTAAGAACCTGGGTTCAATCTCTAATACTAAAATATAAATACATAAATTTGAGTTTCCAAAATGTATCAGTAGGTGAAAGTTACCAAATTTTTTTAAATTAACACTTATTTTAAGAGCTGTGGGTATGGTGAGAGCTATTTGGCTTCAAGGAGATTTTGTACTAATAAAGAGATAAATATATGAACATGTCTAAAGGGTGAATTAAAAATTGGTTAATTATAACTGTTCATACATAGGAAGATAACAACTTTTGGAGAGATAACTTGTATGTTAAAATTCAAATCCTTATATTATATCCAGGCAGAATCAGACTTGTGAATATCCCATTCAAAATTAATTACTGAGGGCTGGGAATGTAGCTCAGTGGTAGAGAAAGTGCACATGTGTGAGGTCCTGGGCTTCATCTCCAGCACCACAAAAATACAAAATAGGAACACAAAGCTAGTTAAACACTGTGTAGTTCTATTTATGTGCAGAAAAGGGCCTGATCCATATAAACCCTCTATTATAAAATTATTTCAAACATTTAAGTGTCATGTTAATCTGCCTTAGTGTCTAACCTTGTAGCCAGGCTGAGGTATCCTGCAACCCAAGTTCTCCTTATTGCTGACTTCTTTTCTCCACTCCACAGAGTACTGCAGACATGAGTGATACTTTGGTCTAAGGCATCTATGGAAGAATTCCATGATGCCAGCAGAGACCTTGGCCATTATAGGAAGTGACTCCCCCTACCCTACCCCCAAGTGATGGGCTAGGCAAGCACTCGACCATTAAATTGCATCCCCAGCCCTAGCAAGTGACCTCATGGTTACTGATGACTGAAGGAAGGAAGAAGAACTTTCACCCTCTGATTCTCTGTCTTTGAATTTGGGCTGGGAAACCCTTCCCTTCAGGTATCTTTTCCATCATTGGCCAAAACCGTCCACAGTCCACATGGCAGCCCCTAGCTTGGTTAGAAAATCAAGAGCCTCTACCCTTTGTAGTAGAGAAAGCCCAAGGAAAAAGAATTTGGGGGCTGGGAGCATGGCTCAAGTGGTAGAGCACCTGCCTAGCAAGCAGGAGGCCCTTAGTTCAAGCCCCATTAATGCCTCCCCTCCCCCAAAATTTGGGAAGGGATGTTGAGTGAACCAACCTACAACACCTGAGTCATCTTTTTTGCAAGTAAGTATTTTTAGATTATTTTCCCCTTTCTTCCTTTATTCTAATTTTTTTATTCCTTAGGGTAGTCTTGATTACTTTGTTAGGTATATTTTCCAAAAGAAGCCCCAATTCAGGCTGTAAGGAATAAGCAAGGGAATAGTTCAAGTGATTCACCCATCACAGTGGAAAATCCTATTATATGAAGAAAAATCAGATGTAGAATCCATGTCATCAACAGCTTAAGCCTGGTAAAAGCAAGCACATTCTTTCACCATCTACTTCTATTCAAAACATACTTATTGAGCACCACCATTTATAGCTCAGGCATTCATTAACCCAACATAATCTCTTCAGAAGTCTCCCTTTCCTTTTCTCATCTTCTCCTGAAGTATAAGAATGAAAGACAAAGCTATTTCTAATTAGTTTTATCAGTCACTTTTATTAGTATTGTTGTAGATTTAATTCTTATTATGTGTTATTTAAATGTGCCTTAAATAAGCCTTTGAGGGCTTAGAAGTTAATCACTGTTTTATAAATAACATGGCTTATGGAAAAATTTCAATTCCATTAACCTTAAAAATATTCACTGGAATACTGCCTACATGGTGCTGGAAATTGTCTCTGTGTTTGATAGATAAAAGCATAGAACAGTCTATTTGCATTATATGTTTTTGCATGGACATAAGCAAACTCATGACCAGGATTTCTTTCCTTCATCAAACTTTTGCCAGTCTTCTGAATCTTCTCCCAGGGCCATCTGTGCACTTCCTTATAAAATTCAGTTTTAGCAGGAATTCTCAGTATCTGATATCTGATCAAGGTTTTTCATCCTTTACTATTCTCCAGATGATGTCTGATCACTCTGACCTGCCTTCTGCAGGAACACTGGTCTAGCCAGAATCTCTCTTTACCCTCTGATGTTTCCTCCTGGTAATTTTCCATCCATTCACCCTCTACCCTGCTCCTTGACTGTAAATTCCCATTTGTCCATGCTGGTATTCAAACTTGAGTCCAGTTCTATACTGAGATCTCTTTTATCCCCATTCCAATAGTCCTGAATAAAATCTGTTTTGACTACTTTCACTATTGTCTATCTCTGATTTTTCTTTGACCCTAATGTAATCAGAGTTTTATATGTGTAGACTGTTTGACACATCACAAATATCCAGCCTATGTGTACTGATTCTCTATAGGTGAACGTATGTCTTTGCTTTCTCCAGTATTTTAGAAACCTGAATCTTTAAGCCCTGAACTTAATAACAGGTCCATAATAGGTGCACAAATAAGTGTTCATTGATAATTGTAAATGTGTAAATAATTGTCACTTAATGAAAAGTAGTCAGGAGACTGACTATGGGTGTCACTGTCTTCCCTTCCTTCCAGTTCTTATACTAGAAAAGTTAATGTACTGAAGTAGTGTTTTTGGTGGCACACTCATTTAGTAAAAGGTGGAGTCCAAAGAATTAATAGTTGGAAAATTTTTGGAAAACCCTGTAACAGCTGTTTCCAAAGAGAAATGAGCGAAAGCCAGATAATAGCTAGTTATTGGAGGGACTCCATAGTAAGAGCTTTGAGAACAGACAGACCGAAACTGGAGGTAAAATGTTAAGCTTTGGGGAGAATAAGGGAGTGGTCTGGTTTAGGTTAGAATCTAAAAAGAAATGCCTCCTGGGGCCAAGCTAGAAATTTAAATGTCTGAAGGTGGCTTGATGGGAACTGGGGCAACCTGAAAAGCTTCTGTTAGGGCCAGAGGCAGACTATTGTCATACAGGAATGTGGGCCCTTCTATTGGGTCTTCAGATTCCTTCACTGGAGCTAGATAAGGGGAAATCACTGGGTTTTTAACTAATGGCAAATAATTAACAACAACAACAAAAAAATGGTCAGGTGAGCTAATACCAGCCAACCAGTCAAAAACAGAAAAGAAACCTGCAAACTAAATCCAACCAGTTTCTGACCTCTGGCCTATAGTTACCTGAGACGTAATTGAAAGAACTTGGAGTTTGGGAGATTTCATATGTTGAAATCTTTGGGAGATAAGGGTGTAAAACTAAGCAAGTTGAGAAAGTGAGCACAAGGTTAGGAATGTTAGTATTTAGGAAAATGTAGTTGAGGCTTTGTAAAACTGGAAAGGGAGAAAAATGAGCCTAGTTAGCATTAAGTAGATGAGGAAATATACTGTTTATCTTAGTTA